ATTATTGTACGGTATTTTACTTTTAAAATAAAAAAGTGTAAAAAAATATTTAACCAAATAATGTGTAAAAAGGTTTGAGCAATCTGTAAATAACAATTAGTTCTTAATTATATGAAATATTTTGTATTTCTAATGTATTTAATTCATACATTACTTGATATTTCCATATTCTTGTATAGTTATCTACCTGTAATGTTATTTTTTAATTAAAATGTTATCGGTATCTGCTATGCTAATTTACTTTAAACATAACTTATTTTTCAAAATCTCCTATATCGTTTCATTATTTATAAATTATTCTATTATTATTCATGGCTTACACATAAACCGTGAATTAACTATTATTTTTTTACTAGTAATAACTTTTTTGTTTAATTTATAATATGTTATTAAATTATTAATATGGATATCTTAATTAAATGCTTAGAAATACAAATAATCGATATAAACCAAAATAAAATTATAATGTTTTTAACACAAATATTTTCTGAATAATTACAATAATTAAAAATAATAAATAAATAATTATTGTTAAATTATATTATGATTTCAAACATATGCAGTATGTGTTATAATAACTCTCATTGTCTTATTATTAACTTATTCTACAACTACTTTGTAACATTCCTTAATTCCGTATTCATTAATCTTATCGTCTTGGTCATATGTTGCACCAATAATTTACAATGGTGGGCGATGCTTGTCTAGGTGTATTGCTTTTTACAAAATTTTATCATTGCATCCTAATTATACAGTATGTCTACATAGTACACATTAACTTACTTATGTGATATTAAATTAATAAATTATGTCACTTGCATTGCTTTGTATCCAGGAACAAACAAATCCCCACAATGAGTTTACTAAACCAGTGCAATTATTAACCCTTATATTGAACAAAGTACAATTAATAACAATCACTTATTGTAATTCAAATTGAACATAAGGTCCGTTTTCCCATAACATTTCAATAATAAATTATTATCATATGATTGATTGTGCATTTCATAGTCGTAAACATAGGATTAACTATTATTTAATTAAAACATATAAATACACGACAATTATTGCACATAATTAGTATTATTATTACTTTGACAATAGTTATATTTTAAGTAGTCTATTGACAGTAACTTAATTAACAATGAAATACATATTAATTGTGGCTTTAACAGTAATTGCTCTCGGTATGTTTATATATTACATATATTCATTTATTGTTTTTAAAAATAAAAAGAACCCTAATACTTTAAATTATATTATGTTTGCAATTAACACATTATGTAACCCATAAAACAGTGAGCGCTAAACCATTTGACCCGGAGTTGGAGCGACTGAAAGCCAATTGTTTTTAAAAATAAAAAGAACCCTAATACTTTAAATTATATTATGTTTGCAATTAACACATTATGTAACCCATAAACCAGTGAGCGCTAAACCATTTGACCCGGAGTTGGAGCGACTGAAAGCCAAATACACGGCACGTATTGACGCACTCGAGGCCAAAGTGGAGTCCGATGTGAAGCACTTCGAGACCACTATTTTGAAGGACTCGCCCGAACTGAAGGAACTTCGAGGCGTCGAACCTGACCTAGCTAAAATGAAAAATGAGGTGCAAACTGTTGTGGTCAGTGTCGATGACTTTGTCAAAATTGAAGAGGATTTAAGATACCTGGAATATTGGGAACCTATGCAAGTGGCCAATATGAATAAGTTAATACATTAAAATTATCATTGTTAATGTTTTTAATTAAGTTATGATTTATAATTGAGCAGACTAAATCTGTACTATATTAAGTCTGTACTATATTAAATCTGTATCATTAAATTATATCTGTAATTTTTGTTACTTAAACTAATAAATTATTTTATTATAATTGTTTTATTTTTATGACTGGAGAGAGAGAGAGAGAGAGAGAGTTTATAAAACAAAAATTATATCTTATATTAAAAAACTGTAACAAAATATTGGAGTCGTTAATGTGTGCTATAAAAGGGTTGCAAACTTTATGAATAATAAGTATTTCCCAAATATA